ACTCACTCACTCCGGTGTGGGTGAGGAATATTTTAGGGACTAGCTTTGATTCAAAGTCAGTTTAACCATTTTATTAAGATAAATTCTTAAACCCAAAGCAGCAGTTACGGGTAACGTTTTTTTATCTGTCCTGTTTTCGTTGTGTTATGTTTCCATAGCAAATGGTGCAGTGGCAGGAACATTCTGTTCACAATATTACGTTGTTGCCATGTGCATGAGTGCATATCATGTGCATGTCGTGTGTACGAATATTCTTCTTCTGAATCAGTTCTCGCATCATTCTGTATCCCTGCAGTGATAAATCGATAGCTGCTGCAACCTGTCAAATGTGGCAAATATTAGTAAATACTTCCATTGATTCCCAGAGACTAATTGTACGCAGATTCGTGTTTGATGCTTAATTCCTTTGACTTTTAAACGCAGTATTCTTTTAGTCGTCAAAGTTAATAATAATGAGACTGGGAACAAATATAGTTCTAAGGAGACCTCTGACGTGGCATCAAAATACCTAGTGATTAGTCGCCAAGGTGACCTCGAAGTATTGTTTTTGGACTCTTCTTGTTTGCTTTGAGCTTTCGCAAATGTTTGAGATTATTTTTTAGGAGGTTTCATTTCAGCTTTGAAAAACATCTTAATCTAGTCGCGACTGTTGTTACCTTGGTTAAAAAAAACAACGGGATTCGATGCTTCTCTTTTCACCTCTGGGATGTCTACATACAAACCGAGATAATGAGACACCATGTTTATTCTTCCATTGTGTCCACCAGTTGCTGGGAACTCTCACCTGTGGTTGCATAATTGCTCATATATGACGATAAATCAGTAGCAGATTATGTAGTGTCAGTAAATAAAAATTGAAAGTCCGTTTCCATAGTAATGAGAAATATCTGTTAAAAGCTGAGCCCATTGGAAATTCCGACTGTATCGTTGGCATATGTTCTATTGTAAGTGCCATATAAATGCCATAGCACAGAAGCTAAAAGAACAATTTCACAAAATGACATTTATTCAGCATAAGGTAATGTATTTATCCTGATCGTATTGCTTGTGGTGATGGAGAAAGGTTGAAGTTTGACCCTACTATTTTAAAGTAACTTGTCAGATAATCAGGAAATAACGTCCCCGGGACATGGGAATATATGTTATGTGCTGAAGCGGGGTGAGGTGGGGTGAAAGGGGGTTCGGCATCGCGTTAAAGTTTGGTGCACTGACATAGCTATTTGCATGCACATGTGTATGTGTCTGTGTGTGTGCTTGTACCAGTCCGGACTAAAGCTGGTTTTAAAGTGCTATCTCACTCAGATACCATATAGATATTTTGGGCGGTCGGGTAGCCTAGTGGTTAAAGCGTTCGCTCGTCACGCCGATGACCCGGGTTCGATTCCCGACATGGGTACAATGTGTGAAGGTCATTATCCGGTGTCCTCCGCCGTAATATTGCTGGAATGTTTCTAAAAGCGGCGTTAAACCATACTCACTCAGATACCATGTCGCAGTTGGAACACGAATACTCTACTCAGACACTCAATATACTGACTTCAAACTGACCAGTTGTTTTATTCCCCTAATGCCGAGCTACAGACATGGTAATAACTACAATCTTTTAACAGGATCGACCTTACACTCTCCAGACAGATGCCCTATCCACTAGATCAAGGAGGCGCGGGGATCGAACCCCCGACCTTCAGCTCTCCGGACAGACGCTCTATCCACTAGACGAAGGAAACGCAGAGATAGAACCACAGACCTTCCACTCTCCGGACAGACGCTCTATCCATTCGGCCACATGCTTCTATTCTGTTAACATTTCATGCAACAAGCACATATTGACAGATATGTATGAAGGTGAAACAAAACCGATAACACTGTCTAATATTGACAAATAATCTTGGACATGCTGACATTTATCAGGCCATGGATAAAAAGCGTTTTGGAGGACAAACCATAAGCCCTGAGATGAAAACAGAATACAGTAAACTACGTTTATAACGAACACGCTTATAACGAACTGACCTATATTACGAAATTAAATTTAGTCCCGGACATTTGCTGTACTTATGTTGTAAACATGCTTATAACGAATTACGGTTGTAACGAACTAAAATTAGTGGTCCCCTTGAGTTCGTTATAACCGTAGTTTACTGTATGACAAATATGAAGGATCATTTGTTGCTCAGTTATGTTACAGGCCTTCTAAAGTAATTGATTTATGCATGAACAAATTATCATCATGGTAACCTTGCAGAAAATCGCCCTTCTATGAACACGAAATCACAATGAAGACGGTTGGTATCGCTCTTAACAAATTAGACCCGTGAAGATCCGGGCTAGAATAGGTCTTCAGCAACCCATGCTTGCTTTAAAAGGCAACTATGCTTGTTATCGCTTGTTGAGGCGACTGACGGTATCGGGTGGTCAGGATCGCTGACTTGGTTGATGCATTTCATCGTATCCCAATTGCCCGGGTCGATGCTCATGATGTCAATCACTGGATTGTCTGACCCAGACTCGATTATTTACAGACAGCTGTCATATAGCTGGAATATTGCTGAGTGCGGCGTTATACAACAAACAAACAATCAATCAATCTTTACAAATGAAATAAAGTGGTGGTCGTTGTATTATCGATACATGTGAAATTCCTTGTGCCAAACTCCAGTTAATAAACATCGACACATCCCTTTCAATCATCAATGTCCATTGTACGATTCCGAAAATCATCATGTGTTTATGAATCATTATCAAATAGTGATACCAGGTGGAACACGTCACTCAAAGTTAAAATGGGGAATTGTATCGAAACTTATTTTTTCACTGATGCTTCAAATTTGGAAATGAAAGACACGCTTGAAACAGGTGCAGGTTACAATACATCGACATGCAAAACAAACATCACATGGATGCATTATTGCAATTCTCCATCAATTATACTAATGTAAGCGACAAAGCCCTTTCCTTCATCTTAAGAAATCTATGTTAAAAGCATTATTGCAAAAACAGAGTCTATTACACGATTCCGACTGCATCATTAGCGTGTGTTTAAGAATCATAATCAAACAGCGATTATATCAGGTGTTTGCAAAAAGTTGTACATCCGTCACAGACACATGTGAAGGAAAATCAAGTGTTCACCTGAACAAACACAGGACATGGTAAGTTGGTTTGGGAATCAGGAAATGCATATTTTAGTGACTTTAAGCATGTTGTGTGTAAGTGTTTATTCCGTGCAAAATGTGTTGTTTCGCAATAGAAGCTTAAAGAACAGCTACAGGCGATTTTCCGATGTCAGTACAGTTATATCCCGACATGTTCTGCAGACAATTCTTTGTGTTGCAGGTACATTTCATGTGAAGCGAGATATGAAGTAGTACATTCAGTGCGATAGAGAGACTGGTAGATACGTTAATACTCCTCGAGAGCAGAGATTGTGCAATAGTTGCAATCAAAGATATGTCGAGAATGAATATCATTTTTTATTAAGTTGTAACGCTTATGATGAACTTCGTCTTTTGTATTTACCACAGAATTATTGTGTACATCCTACTCTTGCTAAATTCAATATGCTTACAATGGAAATGTTATTAAAAATGTTGCAACTTTTATACACCATGCTATGAGTGAGTGAGTGAGTATAGTTTTACGCCGCTTTTAGCAATATTCCAGCAATATCACGGCGGGGGACACCAGAAATGGGCCTCACACACCACTAGGCTACCCGACCGCCCCCACCATGCTATGAATGTTAGACACCAAACACTAAGCCTATAAATGTTCATGATGGACCAAATATTGTACCATGGGCCGCTGGCCTACACATGTACATGAATAAAGAATTGAATTGCGATAGAGAGCGCTAAAGGTATCGCCGTCCAAACCAACGTCCACCGTCCTCCGTTTCATCTCGCATTGTTTAGGGACAGTAACTTTACATCCCGATAACGATGTGTGTACGGGCACTCGCCCGCCTTCTAGTCTATGGGAAATGTACCGCCTCCGTGGTCCAGAGGTGAGGGACCGCCCGGAGAGCGGAAGGTCCGGGTTCGATCCCCAAAATACCAAAAGACGTTTAAAGATGGTACTTGTTGTTACCCTGTCTGGTGATCGGCATTAAGGGACTAAGACAAGGACTGTCGGCTCGGAGTCAGTATACTGTGTCTGAGTGGGGTATTCATGTTAACTGCTGCATGGTATCTCAGTGGGCTAGCACTATAAATCGGCATCAGTCCGGACTAGTACAAGCAGCCACACACGCGCGCGTTCATTTACGTCGCCATATAACTGCAATAATCTTTGACGCGACGTTAAACCCAATTTCACCTCACCTCACCTATGGGAAATGTCCATGACATAATTAATATGTTTTCTGAATCTGGCAATGTTTTCACGTGATGAATAATAACGATTGTGTTCGAAAACAGCTCTCATGGTATTATTTACGAAGCGTTATAGATGTCCTGAATGCTCAAATATTTTCATTATCAACAATGTATATTTCTGAAAAAATATCTTCAACAACATAATAATGTAAGATGTTACACGCCTTTTCAGTAAAGTTATTGATGTTTGAAACTTAAAGCACTGCTTTTTCATTTTGAGGTCTCGTGGTGTACAGTTATATATAGTACCAGTCTCGCTTATCCGACCCAACAAATTCCATTGGTTGTAAAAGGCAAAATAGCAATGAAAACTGTATGAATGGATAACTGACAATCAGTGCTGACACCAGGTGTTCGCGAAAAGGGTAAGCATGTCATGCCTTACCGTTAACACCCGCCTCTCACATGATTTGCATTGCAAGTATGTATTAACAGTGCATAGCAGTACTCCTGCCATACGACGGCGGTATATAAACAAATCAGAAAATCAAGTGATTGTCCAGACATTCAGCTAATCCGACACAATATTAACATATATATTAAATGTCTCCTATACACTTTTATTCTTTAAAATTCACGAAGTTAGCACACCAAATGGTGCATTAATGTGAACTTTGTTGGGACTAGTACAAGGAGGTGCATACAGACAATAAAACAAGTGCAATAATCTTGAAAGCGGCATTGAACCCCATTTCACCTCACTTCTCCCCATTGCATCGCATGTCCATACAAACACGTGACTTACATGTTGATTGAAATAATCAATGAATACAGATTAATCGATGAATACGGATTAATTATCACGAAAATGAAAAACAAAGTATTACAACATATAATTCGATTGTTCAAATAAAACGCCAGTATGTAGTCAAATAAATGTTCAGATTCAAATGCTGTCCCTTCTGTACTTTAAATGTATACATAACACGTTCCGGGCACATTGCATTCTTTTGTTGTCCACGTGCACGATGTAATCATTAACATACAACTTTTTTAATTAATTCTTTATTAAATTAAGTATTTATATAGCGCTACTTATCCAGATATACTCGCTGCTCAAGAGCGCCCATTCGTATGCTCTTTTGTAGAGGATGGTCTTGAGTTTTGATTAAAGGTGCTGACATCTTCAGATCCCCTGATCCCCAGTGCATTTCATAGAGTTTGCAGATCTCAGTGTTCGTCCATGTTGGTAAAGGGCAGTGAGTTCATGGAGGTATACTGGGGATAACCCATGGATCGATTTGTAGACAAATATGATCAGCTTGAACACGATCCTGAGTCTCACAGGTAGCCAGAGCAGCTCTTTCAGGACGGGTGTAATGTGTTCACGCATTATATCGAACTCGTACTGACGTCGACATTAATCCCACTTAAGCATCACGCGTAACATATCACAGGCTCACAGATCCTTATCACAGGCAATATGATTCACATCAACCATTCATATTGATTACATCTTCTGGTATGGGTCAAAAAGCGATGAAACCGTAGAGAAGAGCTGAGTGCTTCTTGTGAGTAGGCGGTTGTCTGTCATTTCGTAAACTTTGTTTCACAGGAGTTATGTTGATGCTTTGACGACCAGCTCAATGAGAAGGCACATCCCCGAAAACAGTACCCCAACCAGGAGGGCGAGTAGCGCTGCCGCCAACTTCTCTAGGCCTATAGGCTTTGCCCCTTTCTCAGTGGAAGGGCATGCACTATCGTTCAGCTTGGGTTTCCATTTCCTAAGCCAGTACTCCATCAAGCCGATTTCCTGAACCGTGATGATTCTGATATCAGAAAGAATTCAATTATATAACGCCCCTTTTAGCATTATCCCAGCAATATCAAGGCGGAGGACACACACAAAAAAGTCACACATTGTACCTAAATTTCGGCGTGACGAGATAACGCTTTAACCATTTGGCTACCCAAACGCACTTTGATTAAATATAAGGCACACATATTGATTATGATTTGATCAGAATTCAAACAATTTATAGAATTTTATCCTAATCTGTCACGCCCATATGTTGTGTTGTCTTTCAATAAAAAAACGACCATGCAATCGGCAATTACACGGCCACACAGTTTCAGCACGAATTTGACTTTGCAGATACTATATATCCAATCCCTCCTCTTAATCCCTATTTTCGGCATGTTCGCTTGTTCCAACTGAGCTGGACATTGAATTTTTTACAATTGTTACTTTGGAACATGCCATGGTACGTGCAAAAGATATGTGCACAACCTTAGAGCTATATCCAGAGAAGACATTCCACATATAAACACTTTACTCACTCTTTAGAGAACATATCTGTAAGTGGAGAATCTTTTGGCAGTAGAAGACTGTATTGTTGGGGTACAAATTGTTCCTTCAATATATATACATCACATAAGGTTTTCATGAACACTTCTAATTCCAAGATGTCGTTCAGGAAGGCATAATTCTCTGTCATAACCTTCTTCAAATGTACAGAGGGGTTGTGATTAAGGATGTCATTGTCCAAGTCTTTGGAAGCCGCGATCTTTTCCCATAACCCCATCAGTTTACTGTCGTTAGAAGTCTGTAAATACACACATATGTCATTGACAAACGACGATTTGAGAAATGAAAACATTAGCAGTTTACCAGTTTGCGACCTGTGCTTTGTGAACAGGAACACGTGTCACCAGTCTTTACAGTAAACCATGACATCGAAAGTGAGAGTGTGACTGAATGATGTGTCCTTAGACCAGTTTATAATAATGTACATATACATTTGTACACAGCGGTTATTCCCCTATCGAAATATGCTTGTATAAAGAATAATTTATCAGTAATCTTCAGTTACAGTAAACTACGCTTATAACGAACACTCTTATAACGAACTGACGGATATAACGAACTTACTTTTTTTGGTCCCGACAATTTGCTGTAGTTATGCTGTATATGTGCTTATAACGAACTACGGTAATAACGAACTAAAATTAGTTGTCCCTTTGAGTTCGTTATAAACGTAGTTTACTGTACACTATAATACACCGCTGTGCTCGACTTACCTCAAGAGTTTCCTGAAGCACCGCTCCTCCTCCTACCAATCCGATCTTTAGGTTTGCATCTGCGAATATGTCATCCAAACTTGCAAATGGAGGTGTTTTTCTTATGACGGTGAGTGAAGCAATTAGATTCCCACTGTAGGCTGCCGTCATCACTATAATGAACAGCCACCAGAAGCTCAACAGGATTCGTCCTGAACAGGACACGGGTAGATGAACGCCTCCTGGAGTATAGATACATAGGTCAAATCCGTCTGTCACTCACATACATCTGTTAGTTTTACAGTTTTCAAAAAAGGATACAGCTTTTTACGACCCTCTCCAGATGACTCACTGCCGAAAATGCAAAGTATTTTGTTTGTTGTTTATCTTACTAAGCAGTCAGCTATATTCTAGCTATATCACGGCGTATTCTATAAGCCTGGGAAACCAGTGTCTGACATCAAGAGCAGCAACCCACAGCACATTGCCCCTGCCCCCCATAATGCTCTTTAATCTGGTTAAAACTATGTATATTAATATAAAATAATTCGTAAAATCAACTTATACATCACAGTTGGGCAGATATATATATACCTCCAACCACTTGATTGTAGTCATTATTGCTTGATAACAGTGTTTGATACTACGTTGAAACGTCCCTTAATGCAATAGACCAGAAGTTGTTTTCCTTAAAGTTGCATGTTTTCTCATTGCCAATAAGCAATTTTCTCAAATGAGACGCACCTGAATTGACAGGATATAACAACGTGGGAGATACAGCCAAGGATGATAGGCCTCCAGTCATCCGGATAGTTTACACATTGCACAGGACTTGAATGACACCAGATGAAGGATCGGGCTAGGTGCTTGAACCAAGTTGTAACCCATATTTAAAATTGTTTTTCGGTGAAAGGTGGTAAAAGGATAAACCCTCGGCTTCTCATCTCAAATCCTCAAATGTATATACATGGCAAACTGTTTGATCAAATGTTGTCAAAACTGCACAAGACTGAAAAACTGTCATTGTTACGAATCATGAACAATTCAGAGCAGTATGGATACAGTGTGATTGCCCCACATATTCCATTATTTAGTGCTTTGAATTCTGTAACAATAATTCTTGATCGAGGTCAGGCAGGACGACAGTCGTGGTATGGGAGACACATTGAAACCTTCCAGAAAAAAGCTCACATGAAAGCAGGAGTAAAATACCAAGAAGTCATTCACCTGCACCATCTGAATGTTTCATACGTGAGAAACTTGCACATACATCTGCATTGAGGAAAATAATAACTATGCAGCTCAATCATAGAATACATGAATGCACCAGGAATCTCAGTCATGGAAGACCTCTCGTAATACCCAGCGGTGGGGAAGTTGTGGTATCATCCCGTTTGGCTAGTATCACTGTCTAATAGAGAAAGAAATATATTGATCAACGAGATGAAAGCTCAAGCTGGTAATGAAACTTACCCACCTGCACTGTCCGAGCTGCTTGTCATCTACATCACAGAAACAAAGCTGTGTAGTTTCCTTCAACATTGAGACTTCCAGATTTAGTCAATTTGTACAACCAGCAACATGAACAACTGGGAGCAAACTCACTGGAGGACAATTCCGCCCGGCTAAAGAACATGCTTCTTGCACAACTGCACGAACTGCTCACAAAAAAGAACGGGATGTACGTGTTGCCTTCCAAAAAGTAGGCTCAGTCCTTTATGAGGCTTCAAATTACATCCAAACTATAACTCTTGCAAAAGCTGCAAAAATCTTGCACAATAACAAATTTGTTCCCCTGTCAAAATTTAAATTGATAGAATGTGGTGAAGAAACCATTCCACCAGCACTTCCGCAGTTTGTGTGCAGGATAGAACATGGCGCAGACATAAAACCACACTTAGAATTTAGTGATATAAAATCTGAACTAGCCATGGCACAATTGTTACAGAACAGTTGTTATAACAATTGATACAGAGCAATTGTTTTGCAAAGTCCAACCAAAGAAAGGTCAGTAAGTCACAGGCATTCAAAGGTCATGAGACGTCATTCCCAGTGTGCGTGGGTTTTTCTGTCTTCGTAAATACTAGAAAGAGACTGTTGGTAAAAATGGTAAGTGTACAAGCGGTATAAGCAATTCCTATGACAGAGTTCTTGAAAACTCTGCAAAGCTGTGAGATGCTCTGATCATCAAATACGTGGAAGATGACGTTGTATGTCCACCAACTATTAGGAAATGGCTGTTCACATCATCTTCAATGGGCTACTGTGACCATAATCCATCTACAACACCAGCCAGTACATCATTTCAACTATGACAGTGAAGGTGAAATGCAAGTATCTTGCGGAAAAGCAGCTGGTAAAATTAATGCAGTCCCACAACTTCAAGACTCTTTCCCTAGCGTACTTCACAAAGAGAAAATCCAATCCTCCACCTGCTCTACCAGCTCCAAGTCTGTCTTTGTCTTTGTCAGGTCCTGATTTGCTGACACCTAATCTAACATAATAGTGTGAATGTCTGAAATCAGCGACCTTCCTTCGAGACAGTGGACAAGTGGAACTGGCATAAGCTGGAACTGCAGACTCCTTTTTGACTACCTCAAGTGTTACTAGGACATGCCAAGCTCATCAAATGCAGCCTTTACAGTTCAGTGACATCATACATTGATCATTGTACTCAGCAATCTGACCAGTCGGAACCAGTAATGAATTTCAAAGGGTGGTGTACCAGACGTGAACTTCAGAATCCACAATTTTAGTTCTTGATCCTGGTCCTTGTTGTTCAGAGAATCCAATTCTGAGCTTCATTTTGAGGCAATAGATGAACTGTTACAATAATGTGAATAATGCTCGTTGGCTTCCCATTCACCTGAATGTCGTGGAAGATGTGGATGTTATCCACTGCACAGTTCTATACAGCTGAATAAGCCCACACAAACCTAATCCAATTACAAAAGAACACGATACATGCAAGTTCTTGTTGGTTGGATTTCCACATTATGATGTGTTTGATACCTCTGGTGTATTCTGGATAAAACAGTTTCAATGGCATGCCATGTTGTTGTTCATGAAAAATGAAATGGGGTTAAACGTCGTGTCCAAGCTTATTGCAATTATATAGTGACGTGCATGTACGTGTGTGTGTTTGTGTGGCTGCTTGTACTGGTCCGGACTGATGCCGATTTATAGTGCTAGCTCACTGAGATACCATGCCGCAGTTTAACATGAATATCCCACTCAGACACTGTACACTGACTCCGAGCCGACCAGTCCTTATTTTAGCCCCTTAATACCGAGCACCAGACAGGGTAACAACAAGTACCATCTTTTAACGTCTTTTCGTATGTCGATGCCGGGGATCGAACCCCGGACCTTCCGCTCTCCGGGCGGACGCTCTACCACTAGACCACGGAGGCGGTCTTTTCCTCAATAAGTTAACTAAGGAAACTGGTGTGCACAGCAATATCATTGATGCCATCTTGGATTTAAACGTGGGAACGCGTTCTCCTGAATAGATAACCCAAGGAACCTATTCGTACTAAAGTTTTGCTTGTATCACCATTTAATTTTTTTTTAAATCTTCCTAGCAATGCCTGTGTATTTGCCACGTGAATCAGGTGTACGACAAGGAGAAATACCCCACTGTACTTGTCAGTAAAGCTCCCCAAGGTTTACACGTAAATTTATCTTCCACCAAGATCTTAATGTTGGAAATGGATCAGCTAAATCATCCAAAAATATATTTGAAATGGGAGATACCTATTCATACCTAGGAATATACTTCCATGGAAACAGAAGACTTGTTAAGAGAATAAAAGCACTGACTGAATGTGCAACAAAAGTGATGTACTGTTTATTAAGAAGAGTTAAAAACGTAAACCTATCTCTCGATCGTCTTTTGATCGTTTGATACTATGGTTACTACACTCCTTCTATATTGTTCAGATGCATTAGAATTTGAAAGGCGTGAAGTAATAGAAAAATATACACATACAATTCTTGAAACTTGCAGGATTAAGAAATGTAACGCCAAATTATATGGTCCATGGGGAACTTGATAAGGAGTGAGTGAGTGTGTATTGTTTTACACTGCTTTTAGCAATATTCTAGCAATATTACGGCGGGAGACACCAGAAAATGGGCTTCAGACATTGTACCCATGTTGGGAATCGAACCAACGCTTTGACCATTAGGGTACCCCACAGCCCCCACTTGATAGGGAACCAATCTCTATTCACTAATTAGACGAATAATAACTTATTATCACAAACACTTTTTTTTGTACCGCTACATTATCTCGAAACCAACTGAATGCAAAACTAATTTCCTATGGATTGTATGTGTTGAAAAAAAAAAATGATGTCGGAGTAACTGAAATATTTGATGAACCAAATGCACAACACACTGGCTACGGTCCGAACGGTCGAACAGATATTTAAGGATGAGTAAATACTAAATTGTAGGGAAAGCATGGAGTCAAGCCCAAAGGGTTTATACTAATGACAATATATGCCAAAACAAATTTTGAAAATCCTCAGATACTCCCTTAAAGCAAGTGCACGCCATTATTTACATTTCGTATTTCAAAGCATAACTTGCCCAGTATGAGAAGAAAGACTTTGTCAAATCTTTCAGTGGGAAATGAATTTCACAATCATTTCAGAAAAAGGACCTCAGACTTTGTCACCCGTCATGTTGATATTTTTGTATTGCCTTATGTATATATACACTCTGCAAACGCAAAAACGCAAGAGTGATGTAAGATGTATATTTTATATATCATATTAATATTGAACAGATGGCAATCGATTGTCCAAAATTGGCACACACCATTGTCATTGATTGACCCAAGTTCCATATGGCACACAATAGACTTTCAAGATGAAGGTAATCTGTTCTCAATATATTGTATGGCCACAATTAGAGTCCAAAAATGACTGGCTTCGTCGTCCCATGGATGCAATCAGATCCCTAATTGTGTCAAGTGTCGAAGGTTCTGTGGTTGTTGCTGACGTGCAGGCAGTCTTTGATCCTATAAATGTTCGATAGGGTTTAAATCTGGAAAAGTGGAGGGTCAAGGCAGGACCTGGATGTTGTGAAAAAGGCTGTTGTCAGTCTTGCTGTGTGAGGTCGGGTGATGTCTTGTTAGAAAATGATGTTCGCTTGTTGCATATTTGGCAAGAATTTCACCCGTGTAACGTTGTGCCATAAAATTCCTCTGGTCTGTTCTACCAGTGTAGGAGATGGATGTCCACATCATCCCACTACCACCACCAAATGTGTCCACTCTCTGTGTGCAGTTTCGTGCACAACGTTCTCCGCAACGCCTGTAAATACGACCTCTACCATCCGCACGGCGACGCATAAAACGTGACTCGTCACTAAACCAAACGTGTCTACATCGCAGTTTTGGCCATACTGTTACCTTGACATCATAGACGTCCGTCAAAATAACGTCTAGAACTGGTTGTCAAGCGCGAATACCTTAGGCGCACAACGGTTCCTCACTGTCTGGGCTGATATCCTACGTAATCCTGATATTGCCGTCGTTATAGAGATGACCGTGGTGGTTCTTTCACGTAAATGATGTAGCCTGTAATGATATGTGCTCTGTTAGTGATACGTGTCCGACGGGATCTGGGAAGGTCACGTGTTGTCCTGTGTGTCTGATAACGGTTCCACAGTCTTGTAATGGTGCTTGGTGCTACGTGGAAAAGCCTGGCTACAGCTGAAGATGATTCCCCTTTTTGCAGTCGGCTAATGGCATTGTTGCGTTGGGCTTCCATCAGTCGTGGGATGTTTTCGCTCTCCATTGTGATGACATGCAAATGAAAACCCAACGTGCATGTCATGTTTTTGTATTTTGACGCCGGGCTCTCACAATGTTGTGTTTTTACGATTTTTCCATCTTTTCACCATTGTTTCAGCAGTACCTCATATTTTCCACACAAATTCTGTATGGATGTCGGCAACACTCTGTCAGATATTTACGATTTTACTACTCTCGCGTTTCGTATTTTGCAAAGTATATATCTGTAAATGCTTATGTACCACCGGTGGTGAAGGACCATTTCTGTCCAGATGGATCATGTCCAAGAAGAAGCGCTCATTTCGGAAGTTGAGAATTTCCTGAAGGGTACAATGCGTAGGTCAATAAACACGTCTGACTTGATACATAAATAATCTTGAAGTCATGAAAGTGTTAACTTCGTAAATAAATGATTCACTGAATTGAGACGGCAGGTGCAACAACCTCTTGCAAAGAGATATGGAGCAAGTAAATCAGATAGGACGTTTGGTGCAATTATGTTCAAAATATCCTGCTATATTTTGTCAAAAGAATTCAGTTACTACAATAACATTTGCAAAGCTTCTGCAATTGCATATTTAAGTGCGAAATTCTGATGGAGGTTTCCAAAGAAATTGACAGATACTTCTTTTAAAAATGTAGATGTGACTAAATGGCATGACCGTCACCAAAATGCTTAGCACATGCTCTTTTTCCTGGTCAATATTACGTTCACCACCATCGTCGCCAAATATCCCGATACCTTCATGTACTTTTCCTCTTTTGTATCCTTCTTTTGTCAAATTACTGCGGATACAGTACGCTAAATTGTGATGACCGATAATTCAAGGAATTCAATAAATCCGGAATTTCATTTAAGTTCACAGCTCGTTACCGATCCTACATGTGTATATGTATGGAAAATGTATGTGCCGTGAGTGAGTTAGTGAGTTAGATTTAACGCCGCTTTGAACAATACTGGGATTTATTACAGCATGTCAGCTGGGAGGAAAAGCATTAAATGTCGCAGGTAGTGGATGTTTACTACTTGAGTGAAACCCGAGGGTATGTTGCTAACAAAGCAAGAGACAGAATCAGCGTTAACAAAAGCGTTACAAGGGTACGACATGCCACTTTGGACTTTCTTCCAACAATAATGTGAGATGAAATCCCAGATCAAAGCGTTATTCCGTACTCATCCAATACAACCTCTAATACGACAAGGTGAACCCAAACCTACCCTGATTAATTGCGGAGCCAAACAGATACGTCACTGTGTCCAGAACACCTGCAGGCTTCAATCCTTTTGCTACAGATATTGTATCATGGTAGAATGGGTTACTCCATTCTATTGCAAGATACAGCAGAAGGACACCCAGTAGAGTCCCTCCTCCCACAGCATACACCTGCCAACGGAACGGATCGGTCAGGGCACTTGACAACTTGGAACTGCCCTGAGTGTCCCTCAATATCATCCCGTTGTACGACTCATGGACAAATGGTAGGAAGTCAGCGACGTGATCCCGTTCACCTGTGTAGCCCATTGGAGTTGCAATTAAGTCTACTTCCTGCAAAAAGGGAATAACGCATAACTAACATGGTGTACCTATATACACAAACACTGAAATAAGTAATACTTTAATCAAGAGTCAATTGACCTGATTAATAAACTTGGACAGGAAGAATGTTGATGACAATAATGAAAGCGTTCGTTTTTTACGTCAAAAGCCCTGGTTTGATTCCCTACATGGTTGCAATGTGTGCAATCTCATTATAATCAAATCTCAGTTCTCGCTACAGCTAAACAAAGATCTGAGGACATCCCATTCGGGGTCACGTCAGAACGACATTTCATTCCGACCAATCAAAGCGTCGCTTACCAGATCATGAAAGTGACAGTCGGAATGTGATTTCTGATCTTGCAACCTCGAAAACTTTAACACGGGATATTCTGAACGATAGTTACGGACTTGACGACTGAATCCATACAATCTAGACCATCTATTAGCCATTCCAGAATGGTTTTTTTGTTCAGGTTTCAATTTTTTATTGAGAATTTGTCAAAATATGTTTTGAAGCGTAGTCGCTAATTTGAAATTAGTGTCGTAAAGCACGAGAAAGCTGCCTTCTGATTGGCTTATGTGGACTTCTTGTCAGTCATTTCAGTTCGCGCAAGGTCGGTCTGACGTGACCCGTAATGGGATGTCCTCAGATCTCTTTGTTTAGCGGTAGCGAGAACTAAGATCTGATTTTAATGAGATTGCAATGTGTGAAGCTCATTTCTGTCGTGCCCCGCTGGATTTGCTGGAAGCGGCATAAAACCTTAGTCACTCGCTTAACTTTGTCTTACTTATCTTACAAGGCTTCCTAGTGTTCAACAATTTTCCCTTCTATGACAAATGCACGTTTGTGCTCAAATAATAATGTAGGGACACGGTTGACCCACTCATCTGAGGAGTTTAAAATATTTTAGGAGGGAGTTAGTATGGATTTACGCTGCTTTTAGCAATGTTCAAGCAATATCATGGCGGGGCACACTAGAAATGGGTTTCATACATTGAACCCATATGAGGAATGCAACCTTCGGCGTGACGAGCGAACGCTTTAACCACTAGGCTACCCCACTGCCCCTATATTTTAGGAGTGGGATGGAATGGCACATTCGTCCTGATTATGTTTCTGGGCGTGTTGACAGCATAATTGTGGGTGTCACGAAAGCGTGGATCACTTCAGACTCTCGTCCCACATGAAGCTGACATGACAGTACATGACAGTTCATAGCAGCGTTAAACCAAGCCCACTCGCTCAAAAAGGTGACGCCGGTTCCATCTTCGTTACATCTTTAATTCGGTGATAACGCAGTGAAATGTATCGCATGTTTACCAGTAATCAGTATATACGTGCACATTATACATAGGCATCGACTGCTCGTTTGATTTTTTTTATCAGAAATGACGCTACAAGACGCTTACGCCATACCTCCCGAGAAAGTATTTTGCCTGTCATGAAAATGTTTGGATTCGTGCCTTCACTTTGAGAATAATGGCTGCTTGTGTCACCTGGTTGTGTCGATCGTGCAACAACATGTGATGATAATCAACAAACTCGCCATGGTAATATGCAGGTGCCCGTCAACTTCAATAAACAGTCATGATGTCAGAATGCAACATAACATTTGTTGCGGAAACACCCTATTCGTTACAGCATACTAAGTGCATACCTCTCTCTGCAGCATGCCAAGAAGTCCTGTATAATTGCTGAGGTCTCCGGAAACCGGATGTCCCCATTCTCCGTCGGCCGGCTCAGTGAAGGAATACCTGAGAAGGGAACAAATCCTACTGGTACTTAACGCAGTCAGTGTTCGAGTTATAATTGAACATAATTGATCTGGGAAAGGCATACAATTAGTAGCATGCGATTATCGCACTACAAGGCAGGTCACACATATTGTGACATCCGGTCCGATCCGTGAAGATCCGGGGTAGAATAGGTCTTCAGCAACCCATGCTTGCCGTGAGTGGCGGCTATGCTTGTCGTAAAGGCGACTAACGGGATCGGGTGGTCAGTGAGTGAGTGAGTATGGTTTTACGCCGCTTTTAGCAATATTCCAGCAATATCACGGCGGGGGACACCAGAAATGGGCTTCACACATTGTACCCATGTCGGGATTCGAACCCGGGTCTTAGGCGTGACGAGCGAACGCTTTAACCACTAGGCTACCCGACCGCCCCTCGGGTGGTCAGGCTCGCTGACTTGGTTGATGCATGTCATCATATCTCAATGGCGTGGATCGATTCACCTGATGTCTTTGCCCTGGATTGTCTGGTCCAGACTCGATTATTTACAGACCGCCGTCATACAGCTGGAATATTGCTGAGTGCGACGTTAAACAAACAAACAAACAACCCGATCCTCACTTATGTCCATGCCACAGGAATGAGCTGCTTGTGGCCTGTTCTCTGACCAGGAATGTGAATAATATTTCCATTCATTTATTATAATAACCATAAGGATACCATCCTATCTTTGTGTACTGTTTACTTTTCTCCCTAGAGATCGAGTGAATATTCGGAAGAGAATTTGTTTGATATTCTGGAAAGTGACATCATATTTAACTTATTGAATCAAAGTGGCCCGACTGTGACATAGTTATCCATGGTGATTTGAACGCCAGGACTGACTATGGTTCGCACACCGATAACATCGACAACGATGACAACGACAACGATGAACGATGAATCTTCCCGTCGATGACGACATGAACTATGTCCAAGACGAGTGTTTATCGCGGCGATCACACGACAGTGTTATAAACAAGAGGGGACATTCTTGTCGTTTTGCAAGTCCCGTGGACTGCGTATATGTAACGGTAGATTGTGGAGTGACAATTGTGTTGGGGAAAATCACTTGTTTCGACAATGATGGCAAATGTACTAGATTATGTCTTGTGTTATCCTAGTGTAGATTTTTATAGTTCAATCAAGATCAATGCAAGGTTTGAACTTTATTTATCAGTCGTTATTTTTCCAGCGTGCAGATTAAGTATGACACGGTTTGGATGTTCAGGTAATGATCTCATGATATCACAAGGAAGATAGTTACGTATTCCAAGAAGTGACAGATCATGTCCACTTGTATAATCCCTGTTGTGGAATCCGAATCTAAGATTGGCTTTTTTACCATTTTATAATGACTTTAGGCAACATACTTTACCTTTATGGGGACACGGGTGGCCCATTCGTCTAAGACGCCGCGATTCGCTGTGCAGAGTTGCGTCCCTTGGGCACGCCAGAAACCTATGATTGTGGGTTCGAATCCCGGTTTGCCTCGATTATGTTTCTAGGTTTGTCAGCACCATACCCGTGCTCGTGGGTTTCAAGTGGTAAACGTCTGAGACCTTCATCACTTCGGGCTTTCCTCCCACATTAAGCTGACACGCCGTGATATGACTGGAATACTGTTAAAAGCGGCGTTAAACCCAACTCACTCACTTTACCTTTATATTATTGGCAGTATCCATCAGAAGGTAAATTTATACATCTGTTTAGTTATTGTCATGTTACAACTGTAAATACCTTGGCAAAAATATTTGCTTTCTTGTAGAGAAAGGAAACAGATTCCTTGCTACTGATAACTGAAAATCACTGATGTCCTCATCACTGTTCTGTTGTACTGTACGTGCGACGCAATGCCGTTTTGAAACTGTATAAGTCCATGACATGTCATCGTATATATTTTTATATAGTTTAATACGGCCGATCGCAACTGAGCCCTGAACATGGCATTGGAGGGGAAAGTCAGTATTTTCTCTGAAGCCAGAAATGAAGAAAAGTAATATGAAACATACGTAAAATTTAGGACACTTTTCAGGTGGTCGACCAGGTCGATGCTCGCGTGTGTAAAGGTGAGATTTCCATTTCTTTCATGTCTCTTTACAAATGGTTGAAACTGAAACAAGCAAAATAATTAACAAAGACAAGACATTAACTGAAATGAGGAATAATTGGAATATAACTTTATGCGCGAAAGATGCATACAACCATATACAGCAATCAGGGCGACTGAAGAGAAGTAAAATGTCCACTAGTTTGTCGTGACTCACTGTGACGTACTTTCTGCAGCTCAGACTGGTTATGGGGGACACAACATCGTAAGATAAACAATGAACAATGGTGTCTTGTTTTGCAGTTAGAAAATAACAACTTACAATTTGAATAAAATCATTCATCGTTAATTCTACAAGCGTGAAACTAAACAACGTTCCTTCGTATAGCATGGAGACATGCAGTCACTTTGCTCTGTAGTTGCTATTATTTCGCATTATTAGGGGCATTATTCTCGTGCAACATGTGCCCCTGTCTTCTTGTCCTGGTAAGATAGGATACGTTGAGTTGTGACCTGACAATTAACCCCGACAATTAACCCCGTATGACTATGTATGAGGTCCGCCCTGTGGAGCGTACCATTGCAGAGAAAGGGGTAACAGGTGGTCCGCGAAAAGGAGTACGATGGATGTGTGCGTGTTTGACTCGGCTAACAACGAGTTCGAGTTCGAGTTATAAGTTCAGTAGCATATAATAGAACGTGCTAATGTGAGGTACCCGATGACTGTGAAAACGGTGACAGCAAATTTGCATAGATAACAACAATTGAGAAGTATCTTGACAATAAAGGGAATTTATTTGCTGCAAAACTAGAATACTTTTGTTACTTCAGTGAGCAATAATAAATATTGTCATGTCATTCATCGAATTATTGTGAAAAGTTGACTCAATGACTTACTCCTTAATTAATCCCCTGTGATTGTTTATGAGTTTTCAGCATACTGAAAACGTAATATTGCTAGCTGGATTTATATTGAGGTAACTGGATAATCATAGCACCAGTCTTCACAATCCCGTTTAATAAAATTGGTATTATATGGGAGTTCGTTTAGTAGTCTATATATATGTGATGTACATCATACCTCAAGTGCAGCAATTCTCAGCTCTCGTTGGTTTAATCCTAGTTTCAGATTCGGGAACACATCATTGAGGGATGTGTCATACCGCGAGCGCTGGACTTGAGAAAACTTCCGGCCATGAGGTTTCCACAGCAACGTGTGTAGCATAGTGTTTATTGTTCCCTCGGCGTGCTCTTTTCTGACAATCTGGAGACAACGGAGATGTTATGTTAGTCTTTGTAATGTTTTAAGTGCTCATCATTTCATGTCCGCAAGAAATGATTCCGTTGAAACATGAAACATGAGTTTAATGTATCGTTGTTTATGTTTCTTCAAGACACAATAGTCCATTCTCAAATATGTGCTCGAAGCGCATTATTACCCCGGGCAATGGAACAATGTGAACTAGAATTTCATTCTCAGCTCCATGGGGAGTATGCAACTCAAACTGCCTGTGAGGTTAGCTGCAACATCTCATCCTACTAGGGTGCCCATTCACTGTTGAGTAAACAGGGGCTTATTTCGAACAAAGTCACTTGCCCAAGGAGACACCACATGTGTCGCATGAGCTTCAATTATTCTGTTTCTTATAAGTAGGATTTTTTCGATCAAAATCATATCACACATACTAACAGAAAAATAAGTAACTGTGCTTCATATAATTTTCAATAAATATATTCTAAAATTAAGCATTGCATCCTTCACTACATATTCATGAAGACATCTCCTCGATTTTATGGTCGTGATTTACAGTTTGCAGTGCATGTTGATGCAGGGCGTACAATTTGGATGTTCACGTATTTGTCGGAAGCATGGTACTCACACACGTGTATTGTTAACGTGACCAGCACACAGTGATTGTTTAGCGATCAGGTGCTCATAAAAAAACACGTAAGCGTAAATTATGCGCACGGAGTGCCAAGGCTTGCTGTAAATCAACGTCTGCGTACAACGAAGTTGCCAGACATGTTAATGTTCATGGACACACAATGTCATCTACAGCAGTGAAACATTTATGTCTTACGATAGACCGGTCGTCCATGTGCGACGATAAGTCATCAAGACAACCATATTCAAGTGGGTGCATCTATGGAATGGATATCAAACTGCCACATTAACAGATCGGACAATTTCTGATCTGAGACCAATTAGTAGCAGTACCGTACGCAACCCGTTGAGCGATCACAACATCCGGCCTCGACGTTCAACGATACACCAGAATTTGATTCCACGTCACCGTCAGGCACGTTTAGCCTGGTGCAGACAGTGTCTTGGGTTCATAAAACAAGAGGGGGAAGTGTGTTGTTCACAGATGAGTCAAGGTGTCATCTGGATAGCTCTGGCGGTCATACAATGGTCAACAAGTGTCCAGGAGAACGTTTTAGCGACGTTTGCGTTTTTCAACGTCGTCAGTTTGGGGTGGGGGGAGTGTGATGATATAGGGGTTATTACAACTCAGCGGAAAACGCAACTCATCATTATTAGTGGTAATTTTAATGGCGTGCGCTTCAGGGACGACATTGTTCAAGGTCTTGTTTTACACTCTGTGCAAATACAGGGACGTAACGTCACGTTGCAGCAGGATAATGCCGACCCACATGTTGCACGTGCTGTAACAGACTTTGTGACGCAGCTTACTATCATGGTCAGCTGTTTCTCCAGACCATTCCCCCATAGAACATGTCTGGGATGAGACTGACCGAGGCCTACAACCAGCCATTCTTTTGTTGACATTTGGAACAACATCCCCCAGGGTGTCGTCAATGTCTCACCTGTATCAACGCAAATGGTGGTCACCCCCGATATTGACATGATTAATTGAGTTACACCACCACCACCACCGTCACCACCACTCCACCCCCAGGCCCACGCCTACGCCCATTTCTCTCCCCCCCCCCCCCCCCCCCCACACACACACATACACACATACACCGGTTCTGTATTGACAATGAGAACCAATGCATCAGCAAAGATCTGTCAATCGTCGTTGAACATCATAGCGTAGCGAGGGATCATGGGGGACCATGCCGTCGTAACTCGTTCCAGGATCCGCTGATCCTGGGTTCGAATCCCCAGTTGCTCAGCCAGCATCATGCCCGTATTCGTGGTTTTCCTCCACGACATGTAGCATCTACGGCTTTCATCCCTTATTAATTATGTTCAGTACATGGGTGTGGTTATACTCAGGTTACAGCAGTATTCAAGCAATACTGTGAACGGGGCTTAATACAGAAGTGTGGAATTGAACCCGGGTCTTCAGCTTTACCACAAAACAAGCTCCATCGGGCATGACGACTTACTTGCAGAAAGGAGTCCGTGGCATCAGATCTGTTGCAGGTGTGCATTGACGACAGGACTTCCACCATTGTGTTCACCACCCACTAAGATGAAGATAAACATGTGCCATTACAACGTGGCTGCGAAAACGCAATATACGTTTAAGAATGGATAGATTAAATATATAAGTCTCTAATTTATTTTCATTTTTATAATGTGTATAAGGTTGCAACCGCTATATATATTTATCTTGTAAAACAGTGCTTATGTTGATAATGTAAACAGTAGGTATTCTGAAAATATCACATACACCATGAGTAGTTGTCAGTCAAATATTGTTAAAAATATATCCTTGCTATGAGGCATTAACACGGCGAAAAAATCAATCTGTATGTTTTTAAATTGAGAAACATACACAAATGCTGTGTACGTGATTATGCAATCTGGGTAATCTCTCCTGCCTATTTGAAACGTCCTGTGAACATGCACATGAAATGTTTCGCTTTGTATCTGTTGACTTGCTACAGGCTACCTTGACCTTCACACTAATCTTTGACATTTTTATGAGAAAACCTTCAAAATGCATTATGTTAATTATAAACAAACATGTATACACAAGGCGGTGCTAACCTGGGACAGTTGTCCGACGTCAAAGTCCCTGTCTGACCTGCTGATGACGGCGACATGATCAAGCTTCAGGTCCATGCCCTCTATCGCTCCCAGAGAAGATCGGGACAGAAGCAACAGCCACTGAGAGAAGTGTCGGAACAAGGAACCTTTCCCATAATACTTGTCCCAGTCTTCAGCCTAAAGAAGATACCATGGTCAATATGTTCCTTCTGACTTCCATCAGGAGATTTCAATGGTCTCACAGTGTATCGATGTCTGATTTACAGATACAGTTCAACATTTTAATGGTTGGGATCACAAATTCGTCATGTAGAGGTTTCATCCAAAGTGCATCCACGTAGCTGCTCAATTAAACGCAATAAACCCCAAGGTATTGATTTCGAATTACGTTTATGTTTTACGCCATGATATCGATGTTTATTTTATTTTATTTTTTTATTTTGTTGTTGTTTAACACCGCAATCAGCAATATTCCAGCTAAATGACGGCGGTCTGTAAATAATCGAGTCTGGACCAGACAATCCAGTGATTGATATCATGAGCATCGATCCACTCGATTGGGATACGATGACATGCATCAACCAAGTCAGCGAGCCTGGATAGCGATGTTTAATAAAGGTGAATCCCAAAGATAGCAGGAGACCCAAGTGCACACAACCTTTATAAAATACTCTCAGAAAATAGACACGAAAATGACCCCGCAGCTCCCGGGTCACAGAATATCTCCGTCTTTTAATATAAGAGTTGGTTAAGAATTAAGGGTGTAACAAGATCAACCAGTAAAACACATTGACTGCCCTACATTACCAAGAAAATTGTGTGGGTAATGACAAGAGGTTATGATGTACAAGTGTATAAATCGATTCTCTGTTTTATTCAATGTTGTTTATTTTCCATCCACAGATGTTGTCTGTGACATGTTGGAAGGTAATGAAATAATAAGCACATAATAATCATGCCCCGCAATTATTTCTATCGATTAATTTCAGTAGGCAGATGTGCATATGAATAGCTCTGTTGGATTTGGATTTGTGTCATGAAGCTAAACATCAAAATTGCTACTATTTATAGATACCTGAGAAAACCTCATGCAGTACGTTTTATGAAATCGTTTTTAAAAGATAAAATGACTGAAGATTGCTTTAATTGCCTTGAACGAATATGTTGGAATTACACAACCTACTGATTAACTGTAATATGTATTTCCTGAAAGGCAGTTAATATGCTGAACATGCCATTATTCCACTTCACACTAAAACAAATGGATAACGAAAACTGTACAATCCGTCAAGTGTTTACAAACTGCAAAACTTCAGCACCAGAGAATAATCGAAATACGTTAATACCATTGTGACATATTTTGGAAACGTGTTACTTTGGGTCTTCTTTCAAACTCTTTCTTCGACTCAAAGACTGTCAAAGAACAATTGATTGAGGAAATATGCCATACCGGTGTTTTCTTACACAAAGAAAACCGTTGCGAAATGACCTCACAATGGCTACCTTAAAAAAATGTAACCTTAAACACAACCTTAAATAGTTCAGAGGAACATACATGGTTCTTGTTCAGACCAAATAAGAAAGTATAAACTGGACTGACAATATAAATAATCGGTATTTTCTATAATTAACAAAGTCATTTGGTAAATAATTATTCGGTTGAAAGTAAGGATCGTCTTAATATTACATTGCTTTTACAAAACTGTATTCACGAGTATGTATCACAGCAAAATGGTAACATGTAGTGTTATTATAATTTTGTTTGATACTTGGTTCACGAAAGAAGCGAAACTGGAAGCACAGTGATCGACGAAAACAAAGACATCAAAGAAAACCCGGCTGAGTTAAGATTTAAGAAAATTAACTGAAAGGAATTCCAAAGATTTTACTCTTTTATATTTTATAAAACAATTTTGCAATCTCTGGTTAGAGGAACCGTAAAACGCTTTATTAGAAAGTGATGACATAAAGCATCATTTAGAACCGCTATTCTAGTTAAGGAACATTCATTTGAAAACTATAATGTCATTTGTGGTTTACTTACCTCTCTAAGTATTTGCTTGACAAGTGGTAAGGAACACATCAGAACGAACCTGAGCCTGTGTTTCATCTTATCCATCCCAATGGTGTCCATGATTTGTTCCAGAAATATCAGGTTACTTCCGTCTGTCTTCACGAGGACTAGTTGTGGTTTGACTCCATGCCTTGACAGTTCACTTGCCAGTCTCTTCGCATCGACACCTGAATAGTGGAATTTGTTATTAAACCTACCAGCTTCAAGATAAGAAGGCCAATAAACGCTGTTCCAGTGGCCAAAGGCCACTCACTTGCCAGTGTGTCCCGGGCCGTGGTCAGTAATCCGTACTTGTCTTCCGGGGCGATTGACATGTATATATTGGGTGGTCATGCTTTGTTGTATGCATGTCACCGTACCCGATGGCCAGGATTTTTGCTTATGGCCTCAACGCTGGTGTACCTTGTCCGGATTGGATTATCTGCGGGTCGCTGCGATAATGCGTTAAAAATATTCACTCGGTTACTCATTGGGACGTGTTGCGTCAACGACTAGATATTCTGTTCGAGGTGTGTCTGCGTGTGTGTGTTGGGGGGCTGGCTTTTCTTGCAGTCAAGTGTCAACTGACAGACTATGATCTAGTATGTTTTTAATAGTATATGTCAGTTCCTAAAAATTGAAAGGAAAAAGCTGAGCTCAAAACCCTACATCCCACATTTCACTCCCAACACCCTACACCCTACACCCTACACCCACACCCGCAAAAATATCAAATGGTTGCTCCATCGATCCTCGAATTTGATCAATGGTGTTTCAGGATCATAGCCACGAGCTTTAGTTTTAACATTAGCTTTCCTCCGACATTAAGCGGCCATATCGTCATATAACTTAAAAACTGTTTACAGTGAGTGAGTGAGTTGGGTTTAACGCCGCTTTTAACAGTATTCCAGTCACATCACGGCGTGTCAGCTTAATGTGGGAGGAAAGCCCGAAGTGATGCAGGTCTCAGACGTTTACCACTTCGGTGAAACCCACGAGCACGGGTATGGTGCTGACAAACCTAGAAACATAATCGGGGCGAACCGGGATTCGAACCCACAATCATAGGTTTCTGGCGTGCCCAAGGGACGCAACTCTGCACAGCGAATCGCGGCGCCTTAGACGACGGGGCCACCCGGGCCACCCGTGCCCCCCTCCGACAATAAGCTGCCATATCGTCATATAACTGAAATACTGTTAAAAGAGACATTAATCCAATTCATCGGAACAAAACACTCTTTCCATGTGAAATATATAGTTGAAACTCACGGTTCTCCCTGTCGCTGAATATCGTTGTCGATGTCCACAAAAGCGTGTGGATGACGTGGCTGGTGTGGTGGAGGTGGTCGGAAAAATAGGGCTCAGAGGGGTACGCCGGGCTAGATGAGGGATCATTTCTATAAAAATCAAGCCACGACTCCTCTTGAATCAGTCCTGGACTGATGACAGACACCGACTTTCCTCTCACAGGGTGTGGAGTTATGATGAGGTCCAAGTTGTAGTTCCGCATACTTGAAACTTTCAAAATGAACATTCAAAGATTAAACTGATAAATATTCAGCAAAGTCCCGAAACATATCGATTATCACCTTTCCACAAAACATATTGTAAGGCCAAACTTCTTGATATGTGTAAAGTTTTTCGATATAAACTGACGTCCAAAAGAAACTTTACCAACTGAAAATATAAATTTCAGACAAAGTATAATTTTTTTTCGATGAAGTCTATCTTAAACACATAACCTAAATACAACAATAGTGTATGCAGAAAATGTTAATCGTCTGTTACATGTTTGCGAGATACGCGCGAAAAAGTGAAAAACACGTGCTACACGGACAACTGCAAATGCACGTGCGGGTAAGGGTTAAAACGATTGCAACGACAGGTCTGACATCCACAGTGATAAAAGACACACAAAAGAAATGCCACGACTCACAGTCGAACAACGCGATTGTTTATGTACTCTGCCTATTGTTCATGATTCTGAAAGCTCGAGTTTTGTACCACACCCAACTTTGGGGGGCTCTGACGTCATTCTCGGTCGCGGTATGATTGTCATTTTCAGTGTTGATTATGTTGATATATTGATCTTCTCAATACACTTTACTTCATGCATGTATGTTTTGTTGGTGTTGAGCAAGAGTGGTTTCAAACTCTGGTAAAGTTTCTTTTGGACGTCAGTTTATTAACTTTAAATGTTTCTATGGCATTAAATTGATGAAACGCGGTGGAAACGTTATTGATTTCTGTGACGTATCAATTATGTAAATATATGCACCAGGCCCGTGTGCGTCTACAATAATAATCATTAAGTTGTCCAATAAACTATCGATTTGGTAAATACTCTCATAAGTTTACGTGGTTGCACTTTCGTTTTAAATTATGAAACCCGTCAGTCAGGACCTGACAATCGGCATACCTCGCCTTCAGGACGATTACTGTTTGGGACGTCTAACTACATACAAAGGAACACTATTCCTTAACAGTGATTCCTCAATCGTGGAATTGATTATTCTTGACGATTTCACTTGAAAATATAACATCTCATGATTATCCTAATACTGTCACTTGACTTAGATGCTAGTATCTTGTTTGAGATAATTGTGTTGTCGCAGATATTTGAGGTCGTCGTTTACGTCGATGACATACGTTACTTTCAGGGAGGGAGTTGGGTTTTCGCCATTTGCAGCATTAATGCCAGCAATGTTTCGGCTGGGGACACCAGAAATGAGCTTCACGTGTTGATTCCATGCGGAGAATCTACTCACTTTGAGCTGCTTTATAGAAAATAGACCCACGTCTTTCCTCGAACCAGTGTACGCGTCCCACATGACCTGTTACGTTATTGGTGATGACTTGTATGGCGTCAGCATTTCCCGACACTACTCCTGCAAAGAGAAAAAACACAACAGCTTCTTACCTCAAAACCTCCACACGAATGTTCCAACCAATTTTACTGGTGAACAAGGTTTACTTTTCTTCAAAAAGAAAATATATACACTTTTACCTCTAGTATCATCGACTGGACCTGTCTTTAGTTCATGTCAAGAAGGGGGAACGGGTGTCCCAGTCGTCTAAGGCGCCGCGATTCGCTGTGCAGAGTTGCGTCCCTTGGGCACGCCAGAAACCTATGATTGTGGGTTCGAATCCCGGTTCGCCCCGATTATGTTTCTAGGTTTGTCAGCACCATACCCGTGCTCGTGGGTTTCACCGAGGTGGTAAACGTCTGAGACCTGCATCACTTCGGGCTTTCCTCCCACATTAAGTTGACAATCCGCGATATAACTGGAATACTGTTAAAAGCGGCGTTAAACCCAACTCACTCACTCACTCATGTCAAGAATAATTGTATATCTGGCGTTACCGGAAGCCATAATGGAAAAACGAAGAAAGAGAATGGAATTTTCCAGAGAAATTTCGATGCTTAGTCGATGCTTTTGCCATACCATTGTCTCGTCACTATTTAGTTTAAATGATCCTTTATTTAAGAAATAGACGAGTTGTTTATCGTACAATAAATAACTGCTGGGAGAAAAAAACATGAGGGGCGCAGCCTCGAGTTATCTTTTTCTCCCTGTAGTGTTTCTCGTACAATGAACAACGGCCATGAGTCGTTTATTTCTTACATGAGATATCAACATTATGTACCTCTTTAAGGATGTTGATAAAATGTACAAGCTTTAAAAATGGTTACCTTAATTGTAACAAGAGGCCCATAGGGCCTGTATCGCTCACCTCGATATTGACGCAATCACGTCAACATTTACATTTGCATTGTATATGTATATTACACTGGTCTTAACCGTTTCCATGTTATGATCCAGAATAAATCATTTTTAAGTTATGATTCTCTTTATAACAAACAAATGTATACAATCTATCTGTTTATTATAGGGTAGGGATAATATCGGTTTGCATGTTATGGTCAAGGTTACTCCTTTGGGGGTGCCGGACAGATAAACAGAAAGGCCAGTCCTGGCAGCATATGTGCATTCCTCTCATTATACTCTCAGTTGTACCTATGGTTATACGGTGGGGATCTTAACTCTGTCCACTCTTTTTAGCCCCACCCCTTAGTCGCCGGGGTAGGGGGTAGGGTTCAGCCCCTCCATTTCTCATATTTCCCCAAAATGGTTGATAACTATCTCTTAGTTCCAGAGAAGAAGTCGTTTACAGCAATAACGCCGAAATTACCCCTATTTGGCCCCGCCCCTCAGCCCCACCATTTCTACATTTTTGTATTCCCACCAACTCGAGATGCTTCCAACCAAATATGGTTGATATCTATCTCTTTGTTCCAGACAAGAAGTCATTTAAAGCAATATATAGCCAAATTACCCGATTTGGCACCACCCCTCAAACACTTGGAGGTTCAGCCCCACCATTTGTACAGTTTTGAATCCTCGCCACAGGAGAATGCTTCCAACCAAATATGGTTGATATCTATCTCTTAGTTCCAGAGAAGAAGTCGGTTAAAGCAATATAGCCAAATTACCCCTATTTGGCCCCGCCCCTCGGGGTCAGCCCCACCATTTGTACAATTGTGAATCCCAACCACATAGGGATGCTTCCATTCAAATTTCGTAAATTTCCAATTATCGGTTCAGAAGAAGATGTCGTTTGAATAAATTGTCGGGGGACGGATTGACGCGACGGTATGGCATAAACTAACCTTGGTCCTGCGGACCCGGTGAGTTAACAATGATGAGTCCCTGAATAGAATCCGACCTCGTCAATGTCGGAGAAGTCCATTTTATGAACAAGTGGGTTAAGTTTGGTATTTCCCGCATATTCTCACAATCCTCGCCTCGATTATCTGTACCTTTTCTCCTTATTCCGATTGTCATATCTCTCCCACTTTTGGATGCGATCGGGTGATCACTGCGTTGACCTGCGTACCCCAGCTAAATCTATGGGGAACAACTCACTAGGCGCTTCCCTCTAAAAAATAACGTCGTCCAATATATGACGTCAGCAAGTTGACAGCGCACATTCGAATCTGCAGAAATGACGTGATGATAGAACAATGTCTTATCTGACATAAACCACGCTTTGTTCTTCATTGCTCTTTGTAATTTATCGCGTTGCTATCTTATATTCTTGAATCAACATTTCTATTAATGTACACTTGGAACTGACGGGACTATTTTAATGGAACGATCGACCCGTGAAAATCCGGGGTAGAATAGATTTTCAGGAACCCATGCTTGCCGTAAAAGGCGACTATGCTTGTCGTAAGAGGCGACTACGGGATCGGGTGGTTAGACTCGTTGACTTAGTTGATGCATGTCATCGTATCCCAATTGCGTGGATCGATGCTTATAATGGCAATCAATAGACTCTCTGGTCCAGACTCGATTATTGACAGACCGCCGTCATATAGCTAGGAATAGAGACGAAAATAAAGTATGACGAAACAATTAGTGTGTTCGAATGTGCGGAATTATTTGTGAATCAAATATGGCCTTCTCAAGCCATTTATTTATCCAGAAACCAAACGTCATTATGGCAACATCGCAGACATTTGGCATTATATGATATCAAAACAAAATCATTTTGAAGACTGGATGTATCACTACTGGCAGTAGGCGTTGTATTGAGATCCATGTCAAACACTATCTTCCAGATCCGGAGTAGAATAGGTCTTCAGCAACCGATGCTTCTCGTAAAAGGCGACTAACGGGCTCGGGTGGTCAGGCTCGCGGACTTTGTAGATGCATGTCATCGTATCCCAATTGCGTGGATCGATGCTCATAATGTCAATCACTGGATTGTCTGGTCTGGACTCGTTTATTGACAGACCGCCGTGATATAGCTGGGATATTGCTGAGTGCGGCGTTAGACAACAAACAAACAAACAATAATGTAACAATCATGTGAATAATTTCAAGAACTTTTCGGGTATCATGGAAGGCCGGCGTATCTCGAAACCCACGTTGTACATGTACATGTATGTTTGTGATGACATGGAGTAGTCAACGACACCGACGACAGAACTGTGTGAAATTAACGATTAAATGTTTTAAGATAGTTGTATAATCCTTAAAGGCTTAGGTTGACGTTAATGCTTATCTCTTTACGGGGGAAGGGCATAACGCTGATCTCTTCACTAACACCTATTTTATAGCAGTTCATTAATACATGATTATGATATAGTCGTAATTGTACATTGGACTTTGCTTTTAGCAGATATGTTGATTGCTAATTATTGGCATTTTCAAAAACAATTTTTTTTTTCATATTTCAGCGGACAACTTAACACATAAATTGAGGAACTATGCCAAAGTTTTAATACGGAAACCCCACTCAGACTGTATATTGACTCCAAACCAAGCAGTCCTTCTTTTATCCCTTTGATGCCGAGTGCCAGGAAGGGAAACAACAAGTACCATCTCTGAACGTCTTTTGGGCTATCCCCTAGAGGAGGCGGCCTTTCCCAAGTGTTCGTGCATTTCCAATTCTGAACCCATGTTTATGCCCTAAATCAAACTATTTATGCTTTACATTTTGAATAAATCATCGTAGATACAGGGAACTGATTTAAGCTTAATTTTGAATACATGTTGTCTTGTTCACTAATCCGGACAAATATCTAAACCGCACTAAACCATTAGTCCCCACACAAGTCCAGTTTTCACGGGTTCAGTTATAGTGAGTGAGTTGGGTTTAGCGCCGCTTTTAACAGTATTACAGTTATATCGCGGCGTGTCAGCTTAATATGGGAGGAAAGCTCGAAGTGGTACAGGTCTCAGACTTTTACCACTTCGGTGAAACCCACGAGCACGGGTGTGGTGCTGACAAAGGGACGCAACTCTGCACAGCGAATCGCGGCGCCTTAGACGACTTGGCCACCCGTGCCCCCGGGTTCTGTTATAACAGTACAAAGATTAAATAAGAAACAGCGTCGTCACATCACACACATATAACCTGCAGGATAACTTAATTCACCTACCTATTTCAATCAGTGACCCCTCGGCATACTGTAGGAGAAAGACGACCACAGCGATGCGGACACCTTCCATAACGCCACAATCGTCGCCACTATCTCTGTTAAATTACAGCGTGCACAAGCACAACTACAAGGCTGACGTTTGAGAAGCAAAGTAAACACCTAGCCATTAGACAAGGTTATCAGGGCAGTGCAAAAATCAATACAAACGCGAAGATCGATGCATTATGGCATGGGATGCTCTAGAACAGAACAGAACAGAATTTATTTGGTATAGTCTGGCCATGAGGCCAATGGTACAGATGGTTGGATATATTGTGACAGCGCTTCAGTTAATATTGGCTTTGGAATTTCTAAGTTTAAACATTTTATCTAAATAAAGAGCTAGCTGAATAAAATGTCGTCATTTGTTGTGAGTAACAATACAAACTTGTGCAGGGTAGGATATTGATAATAATACGAGGGCAAATACCTTATCCTTAAGTTAGTATAAGCTGGACATATAAATAGTGCATGGTATTTATCATCTAAGTCGTCTTTACAGAAAGTGCATAGACTGTCAGCAAAGTCATGGTCACTAGACATTCTATATTTATGTATTTTAAAATCATCTAAATTTTGTTAAAGAAATTCTTAAATTTACAGTCTTAATCGATGATAGATATACCGTATCTCTGTTATGACATCGTTTCTACAAATAAACGAAGTCAACTAAACTCCATGTGTCACGTCAATTTGTTTGGTGTTACTGACCTGGTTGTCATATCAACTCAGTATGTCCTACATTTCAAACGTCAGAGGTCTTAAAGGTAGAGTCTACACAGTTTTAAACAAAATATCCTTGATCCAGTGCATCTGATGTGAACTTCAGTAGAAGCACGTGCATCACATCCGTCGATAACTGATCGACCGAAACTCGAGTGTCTTAAAGGGTGGTCTTAAAATCAACAATGGCAGGTCCTGACAGGTACAAAGTACAATATTTTCAGGGCAGTTATTTTACACTTACTTTATGAATGCACATTCAAAGAGATGTGAGTGAGTGAGTATGGTTTTACGCCGCTTTTAGCAATATTCCAGCAATATCACGGCGGGGGACACCAGAAATGGGCTTCACGCATTGTACCAATGTTGGGAATCGAACCCGGGGCTTCGGCGTGACGAGCGAACGCTTTAACCACTAGGCTACCCGACCGCCCCACAAAGAGATGTTGTTGCGTATTCGACCTGCAATTATGATATATATTTTTTGTTTCTTTTCATCCTTACATTATTATGAAGTTCAACGATATTCTTGAAAAATATTGCATTTATTATATAAATTCCCGATAATGAATATAAAGAATATCAGAGTTTTCAGGACATCTATTCCGCTCCGAAAGTATTACCATGATGAATTGGTTGTCGCTCTTGTATGAACACAATCGTTGCTTTTAACCACGTGAAAACATGGGTGTATCAGAAAACACAATTGTGTCATGGGTATTTGCCCCAAAATAGAAAAAAGGCGAGTGAGCGGACAAATACGTTAACGGATATAAAACTACTGCCTCAAACAAATGGGAGATGAAACGGAGAAAGCTGGACGTTTGTACGATACCTTTGGTGCTCTCTATCGTACTTAAAGTACAGCTCCACATCTCGCTTTGCTTGAAATGCACATGCAACACACAGAATTGTTTCAGAACATGTTCTCGGCTATTCGTGACCAACTCGTGTTATTCCGGGACAAGCCGAATAGCGACTCGTGCCCCTCTCATGGCCATTTTTGCGACTGGTGTCCGTCTTAGCGCAAACGGGCATACCTAAAACAATTGTCAACTCGTTGCGTAATGGTTCACAAATATTTCCCCATAAATGATATATATTTCAGATGCAATTTAAAGCTCATCGGGACATGCGGAATTATACAGTATGATTGAAAACATTTAACTGTGTCTTTGGTATATTTTTAGATGCAAGACATATATAAAATCAAAAATTGTTTCTGAGGGATTCTTTGACGTTTGTTTGTCTTTGGTTTGTCGTATTTTCGCACATAACATTCATCGATAGGGGGACGAGTCTTCTTGCAGGTTACGGAAAGGGTCGAGTAGTGACGAATGGCTCTCGGCGTATAACTCAACGTAATTTACCGCCATGTCAGCATAATGAATTCAGGGGTAGAATAGATCTTCAGCAACCCATCCTAGCCGTAAAAGGCGACTATGCTTGTCGTAAGAGGCGACTAACGGGATCGGGTGGTCAGGCTCGCTGACTTGGTTGATACATGTCATCGATCGATGCTCATGATGTCAATCACTGGATTGTCTGGTCCAGACTCGATTATTTTACAGACCGCCGTCATATAGCTGGAATATTGCCGAGTGCGGCGTAAAACAACAAACAAACAAACAGAATGATGAGGTGTGATTGATTCACGAGATGTTGATAAAATACTATGTATCCCGGCTTGGGAGGGAATAAACTTTTCAGCGGGCGAATAAATCCTTTATACCTCGCCAAGGCCGATTGCACGTGGGTTTCTGAGAGCCAGACAAAATCCCTTGGTTTAAACATATTTATTGTCACAAAAGTGTGAAAATGGATTGGTAAACAAGCAAAGTGCTTATGTTAATACCGGACGCTTTTCCCGAGTCAGTGAAAGTGTTGTGACACAGCACAAGCTAACCGCCGCTCAATCGAACAGCTGTTTCTATCAATTTTGAATTTGTTTTGATTCTCTTTGTTAGGGGACGCAGTGAGTGAGTGAGTGGAGTTTAACGCCGCTTTTAACAGTATTCAAGTTATATCACGGCGTGTCAGCTGAATGTGGGAGGAAAGCCCGAAGTGATGCAGGTCTCAGACGTTTACCACTTCGATGAAACCCACGAGCACCTCTATGGTGCTGACAAACCTAAAAACATCATCGGTGCGAACCGGGATTCGAACCCACAATCATAGGTTTCTGGTGTGCCCAAGGGACGCATACTTTTAACATAAATACTATATTTATCGAGCTTGTAAGTTATCATAAATTTTAAATTTTGGATTTACCATCGGGCTTTTGTATACCGATAAAAAATATTGATCTTAAACTTAGTTAAACTTAAGATAGTTTCTGACTCATAAAAAATCATTCTATTTTAATCATTCAATGTATTTTTTGCATATGTATGTTGCCAGATTAGTCCACTTCGGTATAAAGGAAACGGGGTGGGGAGAGCGGTAGGGGAAGGGGAGGGGGAGGGGGGGGGGGGGGGGGGGGGGGGGGGTGTCAATGATTAGCTGCCCACTGGGCCATTAACTGTGTTGTCTTAGACTGTTGTGTTTTTGGCATGTAATTTTTAGAGAGTTATTTACCTCATGATGGATGCTCAGCTTTTCGCAAACACCAAATCATCATTATTTGATAATGATCCATAATCACCCACAGTCGGAATCATACATTGGACTCTGCATTAAGCAGATATTTCTTATGATAATGAAAAGGGTTTTGTCGCTTGTGTGAGTTTAATGAATCGAGATTACAATCGAAACTCCATGCGTTGATTGTTTTGCATCTTCGTGCACTATTAACTTATCTTACATTTCCAAATTTGACGTATCAGTGACGCATCAGATGTCCGAAGCTATTCCCTATCTTGACTTGTATCATATATTCCCTCGTTTGAGTCAAGTGGAAATTGACTTGCCTTTGCATGTGTTTGTGGCGCCTGCCCTGATTGGGCAGGGTACACTCAACCTTTTCGCGAACATCTGGTATCATCACTATTTGATAATGATTCACAAACACATGCTCATGTTCAGAATTGTACCACGGCATTTTATTATGATGGAAAGGGCTTTGTCGATTTTTATAAAATGGAGTAGGGCAGAAGGTGTGTTTGTTTGTTGTTTAACGCCGCACTCAGCAATACTCCAGCTATATGACGGCGGTCTGTAAATGATCGAGTCTGGACAAGACAATCCAGTGATTGATATTATGAGCATCCATCCACGCCATTGGGATACGATGACATGCATCAACCAAGTCAGCGAGCCTGTTAGTCGCCTCTTACGACAAGCATCGGTTGCTGAAGACCTTTTCTACTCCGGATCTGGAAGATAGTGTTTGACATGGATCTCAATACAACGCCTACTACCTGTGGTGATACAACCAGTCTTCAATATTATTTTGTTTTGATATCAAATAATGCCGATTGTCTGCGATGTTGACATAATGATGTTTGGTTTCTGGATAAATCAATTGCTTGAGAAGATCATATTTGATTCACAAATAATTCCGCACATTCGAACACACTAATTGTCTCGTCATACTTTATTTTCGTCTCTATTCCCATGTTTGTCCTCAGGCACACTTTATTCACATGCCCTGATCAATGTCAGCATTTGTGAAATTAATTGTCAATATTTGACAGTGTTAATTTTTTTTTGTAACCTGAATACACATCTATTTACATGTCCTGAATAATCACTTAACCCCATCACGAGTAAGGGAATAGACGCATGTGTTGTTTGTGTTTCATCTTCACGTCTTGTGATATATACCTGTTTCAATAATACCACACCCGTGGTCTAGGATAGAGCGTCTGCATGGAGATCGGTTGGTCGGTGGTTCGATTCATGCGCCTTATTGGACAAGTGGATAGAGCGTCTGCCTGGATAGGTCGGTGGTTCGATCCCCGGCCGCGTCATACCAAAAGACGTTAAATGACTTGCACCATGCCTGGAGCTCGGCATCAGATGAATAAAACAAAGATTGCTCGGGTCGGAGTTGGTATACTGTGTCTGAGGAGAGTATTCGTGTAAAAACTGCGTCATGGTATCTGCGTCATGGTATCTCAGTGAGATAGCTCTATGAAACCAGCAGAAACCCAGACAAGCAAAAGCAGACACACAGACACATACACACGTGTGTGCACGTCGCCACATGTATGTCATTGCAATAATATGGAACGCGACGTTAAACCTCACCTTACCTCACCTCACCTCACCACACCTCACCTCTTTCACCACATAACATACATTCTCATGTCCCCAGAACGTCAACCATCTGACAGGTTGCTATAAAACAGAACTGCCACATTAAAACCTTTCTCCA